GACAGGCGGACAGACAGGCAGTTAAACAGTCTCACAGGAAGAGTACCAAAAAGTAATGTTGTTGTTGTTGTCGTTGCTAATTAAAGGAGGAACTTAAACATTAGACTCTCCAGCATGATCTATGCTTTTTAACTGTTGCTAAAATAAAGACATTTTTGGAAATCCTTTAAATAGCATCAAAACCGGAATTAACCAGTGTACTACCCTTTACGCAAGGGAAGGTTTCTGAACTTTATAAGATAGGAGTTCACCGAGAGGTGAATACTTGAAATTCTGATCACCTTTACCATCAGCTCCTACTTTTTTGTCGCCTGTGATTTCAAACTGCCGTATATCATCAGCATGTGAACAAAACATTTACAACATTTCGGAAAAAAGCAAAACCCAATATTGATTTGATAGTCTTCTTAATTCGTAGAAGCGTAGACAAAAAAATTAATCTTTGGATCGCTGGCAGTCTCAATGCAGCGGTAGTATAGGGGATGTAACTGCGTTAATTTTGTACGTATGTTTAGTAAGGGTAGTTATTCTTGCCCTTATATAGCACAATATAGGACCTGAACGAAAGAACATGGATTCCAATTGTAACAGAGCTGTGATTGTTTTAAGAACACAGGCATCTTTTTTACTCTGCATTTCACGTTTCATGACTATGAACAAGAGGTATTTGAAACCAGAACAACCATTGAAGCAACAAATACAGTCTATGTGACATTACTTACTTAACTTGGTTACTCGGTTGGAGCAAAGCAAAGGTATCATAGCAGGCGGTGCAATACCATAGCTGCTCCTCCCTCCTCTCCAGGATCCATGAAAGGATTGGGTTGCTGATTGGATATTCTTCTGGCTTCTCCTCGCAGTTTGTTGCCGCTCCCCGGCCCTCTTGAGACACAAGCTTCTCCTAGTTTTTGTTTTTGTTTTTGTTTTGTTTTTTCATTTTTTAAAAGAACCTCTGGGCAGAGAAATGGGCTATTCTTGAAGAGTTACTACTTTGTATAAATCAAAAGAAAGGGTAATCCAGTGATAATAGCAATCATGGACGATTCTAGGTGGCTAGACTATCTTACTTAATATTGCATTTGTATATTGTTCTGTTTGGTGCTACAAGAGCGATGGTATGGAGAACCTTACTTCAGCCTCCCTCCCTCCCTCCCCTCTCTCTCTCTCTCTCTCTCTCTCTCTCTCTCTCTCTCT